CTTCAAGATACCTGCACCTGCATTGTTATGCAATGATTGGCATTTGAAGTGAGAGCTTTCAATGCAAGGCATTGCATAATAAAATATTTAAAATATTTAATGATATATGGGCAAACAATAGATTTTTAATTTTCTATTTCTCTATTATTTCTCGCCTCCTCTTGCTCTTACTCTCAGTGCACGTTTGTCTTTTCGTTTTATCTGCTCCGTTTTTAAGTCTCTCAACTTTTCTCGTTCAATATCTTCCGTCTTTATTATATATTTTTTTGTATCTCAGTTTACTTTTCTAAAAAGACTTTTCTCTGTCTTTGTCTGCCTATGTTTTCCTCAGTTTGTGTTAAGATTGACTCCTCTTTTTTCGTATCCAAATTTTTGTCTCTCTCTCTCTCTCTCTCTCTCTCTTTTGAAGTCTCAATTTCTCTCAAAATTTGGTCTCTCACTCTCTCTCATTATTTTTCATTGAGAATTCTCTACACATAATATTAGATTATTTCTATCTTTCTTTCACACTATCCATCGATTCTCCGTCTCTCTCTCTCTCTCTCATTATCTCTTTTTCATTGAGAATTCTCTACACATAATATTAGATTATTTCTATCTTTTTTACACACTATCCATCGATTCTCCGTCTCTCTCTCTCTCTCTCTCCCTGTCTCTCTCTCTCTTTCTGTCAGTCTCTCTGCCTCCCTCTCTGTCTCTCTCTCTATTCCGTCGATATCTCAAAATGTGTTTCTTTGTTAATCTCTCGTTGCCTTATGAAATATTTTCATCTTACTCTGCCTTTCTCCCCATTTCATTAAATTACTTTAGATAATTATACTGTTTTCAGCACCTCTTTGATTTTTGTTTCTCACTCTCCCTCCTTTTCTCACATCTAATAAGCACCTAGCTTATCATAACTCTTTCCGACTGCAGAGTGAAGGTATCCCAACTAATTGTGTGTAGCTGCAATCTATTGTTTAGGTCTGACACAAGTTCACTTGGTGGTCGGAAGACTCTTTAAAGCAAGACAGCCTGGAAGGCATACACACACACACTTCACCTCACACCTATGTGTGTGTGTGTCTAATTAATGAGTGTGCCTATTTGTTAGTCAAAGTATGAGAGTTCGGGTTTGGCATCAACATCAACATCAACAACAGCCGCAGCAACAGCTGTAGCTGCACTTTTCAATGCGACTGAAGAGCATTTAATTACCTCGCAAGGAGAAGAGGGAGGGGCAGGTGGCGAGTGGCAGGTGGCATGTGGCATGTAGATACACTTAATTACAGTTAATGCCAAAGTGCCTCATTGTATGTTAATTTAGTTTATGTGCAGTTTATGCAAATTTCGACACACACAACTCACATGCCAAATACATTTATGATCCATCCATGTTTATAGCGTACGAACATATAGGAATCCAGAGAGCTAATTGCAATGCTCTGTGGTGCATTCATAAATTTGCCAACTGCTTTTATATTATTATTATGTTTTATGTATTTATGCTCGTGTGTGTGTCTGTGTGTGTGTGTGTGTCGCGCAACAGATCCAATGGCCAAAGGGGCATTAGCCTCTTGAATGCGTTCCTAAGCCATGAGCCAGGATCCAAGCGTTGCCCATTGTGTGGCCAAGGCGCGGGGGGAAGCACAAGCGAACTGTGGCAGACACAAAGAAAGCGTATGGAAGCGTTTGTCTGGGTCTTCGACTCCGACGACGACGCCGACTCCGACTCCGAGACAAACTCCCGACTGGAGCTCGGGTTCGCTAAACTCCCAAATAAGAAAAGTAAACCAAGTTGCGGGCAACATGGAAGCTTAGACCGACGGATACCCTGTATTGTGTATGTAACTGGAGGAGAGAATCAGAGTCTCTTCTTTCAACTACCCTGTGTTTAGCCAAGCTGATAAATTATCTTGGTTTTTTCTATACTTTTACAGCTACAATGCTCTATCCTTATGCCTATCATACCCCATTCCCCCCCGATATTGCCGCAACAATAACAAAGATAGCATAAAGCATTTGCAACCATTTTTCTGCAGCCGTTCATCTGTTTATCATATGTCGCTCGCTTGCTGCAGCAGCTTCCTCTTGCTCTCTCTCTCTCTCTCTCTGTGTGTCCTAGCTAAGGCATTTCAATTGTCCTGGGCTTGCGCCAGGACATCGTTAGTGTTAATGTAGTTGTTTGCTATTTATGCTTTCACCTGCCGACAGGTCGAGCATTTGACATTTTATTATGCAGCCGCACTCCGTTCAGCTCCATTCAGTTATTCCATTTGAAGTTGTCGCCTTCGGTCGCAACGACTCGCCTGGGCGCAATTAGATGTTTCAGGCATTGCGCATACGCCACGTTGGCAGCTCTTCACAGAATGTCAAGTTTGGTAAGTTGTAAAAGTAAGAGTGCTCCTGGTGGGGTTATCTGCGTGGAAGATGATGATAGTGAACTGTTACATGAAGGAAAGAGTTGCTTATATTTCGGGAAGCGAGTTTCATAAACTGAAACTATTCTCTATCTATCTATCTATGTATCTATATATCTACCATTCGATATCCAATATCTATGTACATATGTACATATACATACCTATATATCAATAATTCTCTATTGCCTATATTCTTTCTTCCACCTTGCATCTTCTGTCTTCCATTTTCCATCTCTCATTTTCCATTAATCTCTTATCTTCCATCTTATATTTTTCACCTTTCATCATTTAACTTCCATCTTCAATCTTTGATCTTCCAATCTTCATCTTCAATCTTCGATATTATTCGATATTAGATATCATATCAATTTTGTAACCTCCTGCATACATTTTCTCAAGCTAATATACCCTGTTTAGCGATTTACGCCTGCATGCGTAAGCCCCCATTGTATCCCTTTTTCTAGAGCGGAAATTAAATGAAATGCTATTAGACGCTCTATTTGCAGCATCTGGGGCGCGCACAAACTTCCAAATCGTATTCTAATTATGATAGATAGCTGTGTGAGGCACGCGGAGTGCCGCATGTGGCATGGAGTCATGGAGCTGTTGCAGGTGCATGTCATCACTTGGCCGCTTGTCAACTCGAATGCTAGTCGAAAATAGATATGTCAATGGGGGAGCTCTACCTAGTTCTAGGTGCCGTATTCTAACACATAGCCGGATCAAAAAGCGGGCAAACACTTTGATTTCGATTTTGCCACCAAGTTGCGTTTCCGTGTTGCAGCTACAACTCTTCTTCTCTTCATCTCCCTGTCTCACTCTCTCTCACTCTCTCACTCTCTCGTAACACCCTTCCCTTTCTGCCGGTTGAGAGTTTGGCCCAAATGAAATTTTGGTAGCGTCAACAATTTGGTAAATGTTAACTTTGCTAATTTGCATAAACCGCAACAACCGACGTGGCTGAAAGTTAACCGTATCGCCCCCTTCCACTGCCTCCTTTCTCACTCTCTTTCACTCTCGCACTCTTCTCCAAAAGGCCATAAAAAGAGATGGAAAATTGCAACTTTCAAATTGGTAAAAAAGGGGAGTCGGTCATAAGGCAAAGGATATACGACTATTGGAATACCCGCACTTGGCTGTTGGGAGTAGCCAGAGTGAAAGGCAATCGTAAAGCTTAATGCACTGGTTAATGAAGAGTGAAGGAAAGGAATGGAATTCTAATTGTATGAAAATCGATAAATATCGATTATTTGTATAGCTTAATTAAACATGATTCATAAATGGTGAGAAAAAAAAACCTTCATAGTCGGTATGAAAAGTCCTTTAACTATGTTTTATATAAAGTATGAATCCATGCTTCATAACTAACTCTCTCCTGTAACTCATGTAACTAACTCGCATCTGCCTGTGGTCCGGGTATATTTTGAAAACCACGACCAACTGACTGAGTGCCTTGCTGGCTGCCAGCCTAACCGTACTTCACGGCTGCAGTCGGCTGTCATCCATTGCTACTATCCTGCACACATACATATATATATAAATATATATATCCTTACACTTCCACGGGACTCACTTTCAGTTTCGCTGTTTGAGCCCTGTGGATCGCAGGCCGTTGCGACCGACCCGTGCGCCACATAATCCCCAACAAGAGTTGCCAGACACGTGCGCCACGTACCAAAGTGTGTGTGTCTTTGTGTGTGTGTGCAGACTAACGGCCAAGCGGACTGCACGAAAATAAAAAGGAAGAAAAGGAATCGCTCGAAGAGCCAGCCACAAATTGTAATGCAATGTTACCACGCCACCCGCCTCGCTGCCCGCCCCCTTCGGCAGCTGCTGTTGCTGCTGTTGTTGCTGCTGCGTTTCCTGCGCCCGGATGTCTATGCGATAATGATGGATTGTTAACAACAATGCAAAGGTCCTGACGCATTCGAGCGTATCCTTTTTATAAGTTCTTTTATTTAAGGGTATTCGAATTTTGAATACATGTTTTTTTTTTTTTTTTTTGACTACATCATTTGATTATGGCCTAAACGTTCAGCGTGAAGCGTAAATAACGAAACATGGTATTTTTGTATTTTATTTAATTAATTGAATTAGAATCAGTTTGACTTCTAGAAAGACTTTAAAGTATAAGACTCTTTAAATAATCATTTGAGCACTAGAATGTTGTAAAACAAACGTTAGTACTTTAAGCTTTCTTTGAAATTCTTCCATACGATTTATATACTCTACATACATCCATATATGCATACATATGTATATATTTACAATTTTTTTTTGTATGCCCGATAATCTTTACATGTTCCCACTTTTAACTCTTAACTAAATCAACTCTATTGAAATTCTAAGCACATTTCAGCACTTATACTAACAACAACAACTAGCGCCAAGCGTGCCTGCAGCCCGTCTTATACACGCGTCAATGACTCTTATACAGTGTGGGCAACCACCGAAAAGAGCGACATGCAAAAAGCCGGCAACAACAGCAGGCCCAGCTGTTCGGCGCTCAATTCGCCGCAGTTAACAGTGTCTGAGAGTCGACGTTCTCTACGGCTCTGTTAAGTCTTGCGCTCAGAATAACAGCAGCATAGCATATGCTGCTATTAGTTGCCATCGAGTCTTCGCCGCGTGCAGATGTTATTTGGTGTGTCGCCGTCGACGTCGTCGTCTAGCCTAAGTTGTGTGAGCGTGTGAGTGCTGGTGTATGTGTATGTGAGTTTAACGCTGCATTTTGTCGGCAGCAGCAGCAGCAACTGCATTCAAATTATGCGATAATTTAGCCGCTCTAAAACTGCGAACAGCGTCGCGTGTGTTGACAGCTGCCGCTGCGTGAATTTAACCAACCAACAGCGATAAATAAACAGAAAACAAACAAAAAATATCGAAAAGAAGATACAGAAAAAGGAAGACAACAAACACACCTGCTGCCTGTCTTCGGCTTTTTTGTTCTGTTTTGTTTTGTCTTCATTCGCCGGCTTCGATACACTTCGCTCAATACCATCAGAATTTGTGCTTCTAAAAAAAAGTAAGTGCATTGAGAGACGCCAATTCGAAGAGAGTTCAATGACTGCGGGGAGCTAGTTCTAATGAGCTGTTGTTGACCACCTGATAAGACAGCCGGGCGACAAAAACTCATTTACATATAATTATTATCGGCTCGGCTCGTTTTCTTCTCTTTTTTTTTTTTTTGACGACTGCCACTATGTTAATTTGATAACACTATCAGCAACAGCAGCTGCTCTACACACACACACACACGCACATGTAGAGTTTTGTTTGTGTTTGCGTAAACAAATTGAAAATTTGGTTGCGCGACGCTTTTCTCGCTTTTCTGGACGCAGGCCCAACGTAAAAGTGTCGCAGTTCACAAATGAACTTGTCAATTGCTCAATCATTTGATATTGTTGTTGCTCACTCAATCGTCCACGGTAATACCCTGCAGCGAGCTAAGTTTCAAAGGGGAGTTCGTTTTACGAAGTGTGTATGCAGAGTAATGAAATTTTAAAAAGTTTTTGAAATTTTACAAAAAGTACAAAAGCCATTAAAAATGTAAAAAAAAATATATATATATATATACAATTTGTGGAAGCTTTACACTCTAGACTAATTTTCACCAAGTATTGCCGAAATTAACTTTGGCTTAGTCAGTTACAGGGTATTTGACTAGTCGTGGCCTGCTCTCTATTCCACAATTTTTTATTGGACGCCCGCCCTGCGGCGCCTGTGTGTAACCCGAGCGTCGTCATCTTTATCAGGCCTTGGCTGGCAACGTTGTCCGCTTCCGATATCAATTGCTGATAGCGGCTCATTGCAATGGCAATAGCAGACGTCAAATGCGAAGCTCTTATCAGGCACCAAAATACAAAAAAGCGACAACATAATACAACCTGGTGAATGCTTCTGGCATTGCATTCTGGAACTGTGGGCAGAGTCACTCGACAAACAAATATAGACAAAAATTTGTACATGGAAAATGTAAAAACGGAATCTCTCTTTATATAGAATTTCATATCTGATTAATGGAAAACAGGAAGTGAGGAATTATTCAAAAAGAATTGAATACTTAAAGGGAATTCTGCAATTATTGATATAAATAGGTAATACCTAAATATAGGCACTGATAAGGCGCTGAAAAATTAATTAAGTTTTAATGACTTAAAAAAAAAACTAAATAAATAATTATGGGCTCAATCCTTATTATAGTTTTAAAGTCTTTGAATATTATTATTATTTTTTGTTTAAATAAATAAATAATTTTGGGCTCAAGCTCAATAATAGAGTTAAAAACATTTAGAAATCATTAAAATTCGAAAATGTTTCTTAATAATTCAGAAAATTAAAAAACTCTATAGAAAATAAATCTTTGTAAAGTCTTCAAATATTTTGTTCCTTATTAAGTAATCATGAGATCATTTCTCTATATATGACTTATGAATTGTTTATCTGTAAAAACCAGTTTTAAAAGAAATAAACAAATTTGTTATGGCATATATTATAGCCATAGATAAATTATCGATACAGAAATATAAAAAATATAAATAAAGAAGTTAAAAAAAGAGGATATATATATTTCTATAGATGGATTATGAAGAGTTAAAACACGATCAAATATATAAATCATATATATGGAATTTATTGAGAGACATAGTCAAAGCTTAAAAAATCTTTTTTTTTAACCATAAATAGCTAGATAAAATTTTAATAAAAAGTCCCCGCTAGAGGTTTTTCTCAAATAATATAAACTCCGATTGTATTTGTTCTTATACGTAGCATTTCACTCTCTCTCTCTCTTATCAAGTATTAGTCAGGTATCTGAGAGATTTTTTTAAAAGAATTCCCCGTTTTATGTGTATTTTACTTACGATTTTCGATATCTTTCTCCACATTCGTAATTCATATCAAGTAAAAGTCAAGTTAGTCCAAGACCAAGACCTCATTCGCACTCCCCTTCATTGCGCATGCATTTAATTACACTCACACTCAATTGCATATTGTGCTATTAATAATATTTATTTTGTACATCTTCTTCTTCGTTTTCTTTGTGAAAATACTTTCAATTTGTTTGGCTTTGCCATTGCAGGCCAATGCTTGCACAATGCTCAGTCTTAGAGGTCGTATGGGTAATATTGTTGCGCATACGCCACATGGCGCCATGGCTGATAACTCGATTTTGGAATAGGTCGCCTATCAAAATGTGTGTGTACATATGTGCGTGTGCTCGCATTGAATTTCATTTCATTTCATTTTGTCATTGATTCAATTAATAACAGTGCAATGGCTATTTGCCATTTGCCATTTCACAATGGCAGTGAGCTCATGAGTAATGGAAATTGTAATGGGCCAACGGCTCCAAAAAGCATTTCTCCGATAAGATTAAAACCACTATATAGATTCCATAGAAATTATTAATGAACACTGCGTAAACATCATATTGTATCATTTTCATGGCTGACTTGCTTCACATATTATAATTCCATTTGGAAAGTTTTCGCTTTGGCTGAGTTTGGTCGGATCAAAAATACTTTCTGTGCGTATGGAGTTCATCAATCAGTGAATAAGTTGGGGATATAGATGAAAGGCACGTAAGAAATGCCTACGAAATTGTGCTCAGTGGTTCGGCTAAGACTTTAGATTAAATGCTTGAATAGATTTGACCTAAGAATCAAAGGTTCGATGGCTTAAGCTTAGCTAGAACTCGACTCATTTCTCTATTAAAGCTTTATTACATATTTTGCAGGAATTCTTTTCAAATGAACTAATTTAACTTAAACTTCAATTCATATTGCATAAATATTAATACAAATTTCCAGTCTCTGCTCCATTTCTTAGCCTTCTTCAAAATCTTCTTTTCCTCATATGTTGCTCAAGAATATCTCGCTTGCCTTTCGCTTCAAGTTTTATGTGTTTTCTGCTGTCACGAGTTTGCCTTTCGACTTTTGTTTTACCGTTTCGCACTTACACTTTCCATCGTTAAAGTTCAGCACAAAAACAAAACAAAATGTCACGGCTAGCGCAGTGTCGTCGCCGTGTCGTAGACGTAATTATGCAATCTACGCGTCGATTTCTACAAAGCGAAACAAAACTAGAAACTCAGCGCAGGCACGACCCACGCGACATAAAGCGCAGACGAAACGTCATAGAACACCATTCGAGACTGTAATTTCTAGCATTTTGGGCGTTTAATTATGGTTGCCACAACAATCATAATGGGGGCTCCCAAAAGGCCATGGCCGGAAGGGAGCGAGGCGAGCGAAGGGTCTGCGTGGCCAAATTTTCACGCACGTGCTGCGACCTGGCTGAAAAATATGAGCATTAGCAATGAAAATGCCAAATGTGTTTGGCATACGAATGCAAACGAAAGGCAGAGAGCTTGAACAACTTCAAAATACCTGCACTCCGAACTTGAGACTTTCTTTGATGAATACTAAAGGAATACCAAGTAGAATTTATGGCTGTGAATTATCGCAAAAAAGTTTCCTTAAAAGTTTATACTCCTCGAGTAAAATTTAAATATTTACTAAAAGATATATTTGAATTTGAATAAATATTAAATAATTAATTTAGCTAACAGTATTGTCTATTTTTCAATTTATTAAAAGTAATTAATTATTTTTAATAATTTATATCATTTATAGCATAATTATTTGAAATGTATTTAAAATTAAATATATATATTTTTAATTTTAAATAATTATATTTTTAATGTTCAAGTCTTTTAGTAAATTATTATTAAATATAAAATATCACAGCTATTTATTTACTTTTGATAATTTATTAACTTTTTTCAAATGTATAACAGATAATTATAATTAATAGGCTTTCATATAAATTGTCATTTTTAATGAACCTATTTCAAATATAATGCACATATTATGTAAACAAATCATCCCTCGTCTATAATGCCCCGCTAATTAGTTAGGTGCAGGTATATGTACGCATACACATATATAAAGTGAATACAAAATGAAGCGAAGCAATTGACAAAAGTGAAAAAGTGACCCCTCGAGCGCGACCGGAAGTAAGGTGCGCCTCGACGTCAAAAATTTGACATTAACTTTAACGTTGACTGCGTGCGTGTGAGCCAACAAAAACATCAAATATATGTTGCTACACATGTCAATACACACACACACGTACACACATACCTATATAACTGACATTAGCATAATAAATAAAGACATTTGCAACAGATACAAAACAAATTAAATGCCGGACTCTGGCGCAAAGTTTTTAAGCCAATTAGTAGCCAGAATTTGCCGAGTTTTCCCAGAGTTTCATGAGAGCAAAACTGATTAAAATCTGACTAAAGTTGAACTTTTTATCCGGTGGGGGCGGTTAGACGTAGCCAGAGCGCACTGTAATAAGGCCACGCACACACATACACACACACACAGAAGCCATTTTCTCTCGTGTGTCTGGCAAATAAATAAAGTCACAGCTAGGCCTGGGCTATATGAATAACAGTTGCTGCTATTTGCATAGGCGCCCAATGTGGGGTATTCATTTAAGCCATATGAATATCTACCGAAATGTCTATGTGTGTGCAAAAGTTTCTATTTCTGCCACTGCCTTTGCCTATGCTCCTGCTTCAGTTTCAGTTTCAGTTTCAGTAGCGAGCTGCCAGTTCCCAGTTCCCAGTTCCCAGTTCCAGTTGACAGTATAAACACATCAGCCATAACCATATCTCATAGGGCTGCTCGTAAATTTTGGAGACTTTCACACAGACCATTAAGCGTGCCTCTCACCCTATCTGCCTAGCTCTCGCACTCTCGCCTGCATATACCCTAAAATGATAGAATATGTTTAGGCAGGGTATGACCTATTGACATGGATTTGTGACCCAAGACCCAAGGTCGTCTTTCCGATAGATAATTAGAGCAAATCAGCACAAATTTTGTTCAGATAGTCAAGTCTGTCTGTCTCGATTAGAGTTGGAGAAGTGACATTCAAATTTATGTGGAGCAACAGGAAATTTGCAGTGACTGATGCATTCCCTTTTGGCTAAAACTTTCCTTCATTTTCATA